CAGACTTTAACCAAAAACTGTTCAGTGGATCACCTATCTCCAACACCCAGAACCCAATGGGATCCAAACCCCAAATAAATCCATTTTACTTTGTATAAAGCTTATACAGGGTAAACTCATAAATTGTCCACCCTCTATAACACTGATAGAGAGATATGCACAGCTGTTTACTGACTCCGGTATTAATCAGTTACTCTGGGTTAATTAAGAAGCAAAAGTCATTTTATTAAGTATAAAAAGTAGGATTTAAGTGATTTCAAGTAATAACAGACAGAACAAAGTAGGTCACCAAGCAAAATAAAGCAAAAACACACAAGTCTAAGCCTAATACATTATGAAACTGATTACAGGTAAAATCTCACCCTCAGAGATGTTCTAATAAACTTCTTTCACAGACTAGATTCCTTCCTAGTCTGGGCCCAATCCTTTCCCCTGGTACAGTCCTTGTTAGTTCCAGCAGCCATCTTAGGTGTTAACTAGGGGTTTTCTCATGACTGGCAGCCTCTTTGTCCTGCTCCACCCCCTTTTTATAGGTTTTGTACAAGGCAGGCGTCCTTTGTCTGTGCTTGGCCCCCACCCCTCCTTCTGAATGGAAAAGGACAAGATTAAGATGGATTCCAGTATTAGGTGATATGATCACATGTCCTGTGAGACCCCAGCCTCCATTCTTTCTGAGCTGGCCCACACGTACACAGGAAGGTTTGCAAGTAAACAGAGCCATTTACAACCAATTGTCCTAGTCAATGGGGGCCATCATGATTCTAAACCACCGTTAATGGCCCACACTTTGCATAATTACAATAGGACCTCAGAGATATACTTCATATTTTTAGCTTCAGATACAAGAATGATACATACATACAAATAGGAGGAATATATTCAGTAGGTTATAACCTTTGTTATGATACCTTACAAGAGACCTTTTGCATAAAGCATATTCCAGTTACATCATATTCACACTCATAAGCATATTTCCATAAAACATATGGAGTGCAACGTCACAATTAGATATTAGGAAAAACTTTCAAACTATAAGGATAGTAGGAATAGGCTTCCAAGAAAGGCTGTGGAATCTGTGTCATTGGAGGTTTTTAAAACTAGGTTAGACCAATGCCTGTCAGGTATAGTATAGGTGCACTTAAACCAGCCTCAAAGCAGGGGGATGGACTAGATGATCTGTTGAGACCCCTTCCAGCTCTACATTTCTATGATTTTATAGCATGGAACCACTATGCATGGAATACCCATCGTGAGCCACAACACCAGGCTTCTACCACCTCCATGTTCAATTGCCTCAACTGAAAAAAATATACTTAGCATTTATATATCGCTATACATGTTCAAAGCATTGTACAGAGATTAACTAAATTAATCCTGACAAGACCCTTATGCTGTAGGAACACAGAAATTGCCATGTGAGATTGAAACAGTGGCCTGTCTTTGACAGTGGCCAGTACCAGAGCTTTAGGGACAGGTGCAAGAAACTCTGCAGAAGAAACGTATTGGATAACCTGTCCATAAAGAGAGTTTCTTTATAACCCCCAGTAGTTACAGGCTGTCTTATGCCCTAACGCATAAGGGTTTATAGCTCTTCCAAACTTTGTTTTTTTAAATCCTAATTGTTGTAACTCTGGATGTTTTCCTCATTGTATAAATGTCCCATTTATTTTAATTATGCCAAGTATTTGGCCTCAGTGATATTTTGTACTAATTAACTCCACAGACCAATTGCATTTTGTATTACAAAATTTGTACATTGTATTGTACAAATAAGAAAACTGAGACAGCAAAGCACTGGCAGATACAGGATTTTAACTCAAGGTCAGGTCAGGATTGTGATCTCCTGACACACCTTCACCTTCCCAACAAAACCCTCATTGATCACCATGTTGTGTGTTAGCCTTGCTAAGTATCTACATAATCCTATTGTTATAACTTCTCTTCTTCTTCTGGCCTCTCTGTAGAGAGCTGCAACCACAAAAAAACAAACCAAACCAAACCAGGGATCAGGAAGAACAAAATTAAAAGGGAGGAGGCTCTGGGATTTCTTCCCAGGACAAATGAAATAGCAATTTACATCCCTCAAGAACCACATATCTTGCCCAAATCTCTCCCTTCTTCCCTTCACCCTCAGCTTCTGGGAGGTCCAGGACTTCTTATGCCCCAGGAGGATCCCATAAAGCTCAGATTTTGGCTTCATTTCCCTGCACTCATGGTCTACAGGAACTCCTCCCCACACACACTCCAAACATCTCCCCTTCTTTCCCCCTTTAGTACTTAGGAATTCCTCCATCCTTCTCACTTCCCATCACTTCTCACCTCACTCCTCTGGGACCTGCTTGGGCTGCTGCTGCTACCTTCTGTGATCTGATGAGAGAGAAGATCTTTATGCCACTATTCCTGGTTTTTCTCTTGAACCTAGTACATTTTTGGGTGCTGTGACATAATTAGTAAGAGTAGTAAGACTTCTCCATAGCTAATATGGTTCTATGATAATTGTAAAAGGAACTCCATGGCATGGACTGTTGAACAGAATGACAGAAGCATTTCTCAAGTGGCTGTAGACACCAATCCTTTGGCCATGTGCCACATGGCCCTGCAAAGGCATGTGATTATGGTAGAACAGTTCATTGTCTAGTGTGGTATTGCTCAGATATTAAACAAACAAACATTAATAGAATGTTTCAGAATAGTGCCCTGTTTATGGACATGACATAAAACTGAGCCCTTGACAATTAAAAAGCAACAGTTTTAAAACTCAGAAAAGGAAAAAAAATTTTACACAATGCATAATTAACCTATGGAAATCATTGCCACAATGTATCACTGAGGCTAAGATCTTAGTAGGATTTTTTTAAAAAAACTAGACATTTACATGCGTAGGGACAACATTCACAGTTACATTGCATAGAAGAAGGACGACAAACTGTAATGGTTTAGGATATAAAGTAACTACTAACTGACAAAGATTAGGAAGAAATTTCTCCTTCAGGTAGGTAGGTTATATCATATTTGTCCATTATGTGATTTCTTGCATTTTCTTCTGATGTATTTCATAGAATCATAGGACTGGAAGGGACCTCGAGAGGTCATCTAATCCAGTCCCCTGCACTCATGGTGAAGTAAGTATTATCTAGACCATCCCTGACACGTCTAACCTGCTTTTAAAAATCTCCAATGCTGGAGATTCCACAATGTCCCGAGGCAATTTATTCCAGTGCTTAACCACCGTAACAGTTAGGAAGTTTTTCCTAATGTCCAACTTAACCCTCCCTTGCTGCAATATATGCCCATTGCTTCTTGTCCTATCCTCAGAGGTTAGGAAGAACAATTTTTCTCCCTCCTCCTTGTAACAACCTTTTATGTACTTGAAAACTGTTATCCTGTCCCCTCTCAGTCTTCTCTTTTCTAGGCTAAACAAACCCATTTTTTTCAATCTTCTCTCATAGGTCTTGTTTTCTAGACCCTTAATCATTTTTGTTGCTCTTTGGACTTTCTCCAATTTGTCTATATCTTTCCTGAAATGTGGCGCCCAGAACTGGACACAATACTCCAACTGAGGCCTAATCAGAGTGGAGTAGAGCGGAAGAATTACTTCTCGTGTCTTGCTTACAACACTCCTGCTAATACATCCCAGAATGATGTTCGCTTTTTTTGCAACAGTGTTACACTGTTGATTCATAATCTACACTGGCAAGTGAACGACAAAACTTTTGTTGTTCAGAGGTGCTAAAAAAACACACACACATCCCAAAAGACAAAAGTTTTCTTGAGGAAAAGCGACAGTGTGAACAGCGCTTTGTTGGCAAGAATGTCCTCCCGCTGCTCGTTGGGGGCGGAAGTTTTTTGTCCTCGGGAGAACACTTTCCTGCCGACAAACACTGGCTACACTGTGCATCTTTTAGCGGGATGGCTGCAACAGCACAGCCGTGCAGCTAAAAGCTGCGTAGTGTAAACAAAGCCATATTTAGCTTGTGATCCACTATGACCCCCCCAGTCCTTATTGAATTTCGTCCTATTTACTTCAGACCATTTCTCCAGTTTGGTACAATCTTAACTCTTTACATTTAAAATATTGATTTGTTTGAAATATCATTGCAATAATGGTTTATTATAAAAAAAAATGAAGTGCAACCCACATTAGGAAAGAATGGATCTGAGTTCCACTAGTGTGTCCTGTAAACTTGGGTTTACAGCTGCTAGGTGATCCTCCTTTAGCTCAAGCAGCAAGGGCCACCTGCTTTTCGCGCTACAAATCTCGGGCTCAGTCATTAATCGGCTAAATGAGGGTTAAAATATTGAATGTAACTTCTTCCTCGGGCCCCTTTAGCGTGTGGCTGATACTCAATTCTGTAGGGCAGATTCCCTTCCCACCCAGGCTGTGCACAGGGAATGAAAATTGGCTCCACTTCCCCAGGGCCTAGGGGCAGTGCTTCTATATCCTGGGAACAGGGGCGGCTCCAGGCACCAGCGCAGCAAGTGCGTGCCTGGGGCGGCAAGCCACAGGGGGCGGCCTGCCGGTTGCTGTGAGCGTGGCAGTCAGGCAGCCTTCAGCGGCATGCCTGCGGGAGGTCCGCCGGTTCTGTGGTTTCGGCGGTAATTCGGTGATGGGTACGCCGAAGGCGCGGGACTGGGAGATCACCCACAGACACGCCGCTGAATCCGCGAGACTGCCGTGCTTGGGGCGGCAACAAACATAGAGCCGCCCCTGCCTGGGAAATTTCCCAAAATCTGAGAATTTTTGAGTAAAATGTTTTGAATGAAAATTCCCAGTTTCCCAGATTGAAACATTTTCCTCACAAATTCCCAGGTTTGGGGAAATTTCCCGGGATAGAGAAGCACTGTAAAAAACTTTATCTGGGAATTTTTCACCAGATTTGGGAAATTTTTACCACTACGTTGGGAAAAGTTGGTCTCACGATCTAGAAGCATTGCCTCGGGTTGTCGGGGGGGGGGGGGGGGTGATGGAAAGAGGTGGTCGGGTCGGGACCGGGCTAGCCAGCGCTGCGCCCCGGCCCGCTGGCGGGCAGTCCCAGCGGAGCTGGGAGGCCAACATAGAAGCGGCCCCAGGGCGCAAGCCCCAGTAGCAGCACGTGCCGCGCGTCAGGCGGCACCATCCATTGCTACCGGAACCCAAGCGCGCGGCCCCGGTTCCCGGCCGGTTGCCTTCCCCAGCCCTCCGCAGGCCGTTGCTATGACTCGGGGCCCGAGGCAGCGCGAGGGGTGAGGCGTGCGGGTCCCAGGCATGGAGGAAGAGGACACGGTGAGTGATGGTCCGGAGCCGCCCCGTGCCGGGTTTACACCCCTCGGGGAGGCGGAGGGGGGAGGACCGGGAGCGGGGAGGTAATGGGGGTGGTGGAGAAGGAGTGGGGGAGGCCATGGAGGTAGGTTGGGGGAAGGTAATGGGGTAGCTGTGGTGGGAGGAGTGCGAGGCCGTGGGCTGTGTGTGTGGGGAGTGAGGATTGAGGTGGGGCTAGAGGTAGGTAATGGGGTGGTTGTGGGCGGGGGTAGATTGGGTGGGGTTGAGGTAGTGGGGGCAGTTTTCGGGTGAGGAGTTTTTGAAGGCATGGGTTGGGAGGTGAGGATGGAGCTGGTTGGGTTGAGGTGTGGCTGTAGGTAATGGGGTGGTGGTTGTGGGGTAACACATTTTTGAGGGTGTGAGTTGTGGGGGGGTGAGGATGTGGAGAGGTGGGGTGGGGCTTGTAGGCAATGGGGTGGTTTGGCATGAGCTGTTTTTGAGGTCATGGGTTGGGGTGGGTGAGGAAGGGGAGCTTGCGGGAGGAGTGCAGGAAATGGGCATGGTCTGTGGTCTTTTTCAGGGCCTGTTGGTCTCCGGGTTGGTGCTGGGGGCTTAGAGACTGGGAGGCTTGGTTTAAGGGGATGGTGGTTTTTCAGTAGGTAGCAGTGTTTATTTGTATGTAGCAGGTTTGTATCTTTTTATTACATCCAGTGCAAAATAATCCTGAGCATGACTGAAATTCAGAAATACTGGAATCTACTGATCATTAACTACACCTCTACCCCGATATAACACTGTCCTCAGGAGCCAAAAAATCTTACCGCGTTATAGGTGAAACCGCGTTCTATCGAACTTGCTTTGATCCGCCAGATAGCATGCAGCCCCGCCCGCCCGGAGCGCTGCTTATCCGTGTTATATCCGAATTCGTGTTATATCGGGGTAGAGGTGTAGTTTCAGTCCCAGTTTAGCTAGAGTTTTGGAAACATAAGGTGGAGAATGAAATAGTTAAGAGGACTGTTTCTAAGGATTGGCGGAAGATCTCTGATTTAAGAAAATGTAATGCTTCACATGGTTCATTGAAATAACGTTGCGTTTTGCATGATGAAAGGACACTGGCATAGATTTAGGAGCCACTGTGGGCAAATCAGCGCAAGTGACTTCTGGGGTGAGAGGATCTATGATTCTGCATTGACTGGTAAATCATGGGTTAGCTTGTCTTTCTTCTGCTAGCTGGATTAGACAACCTGATTTAATCTCTCGTTAAATCCTGCAAATCATGCAGATGACTCTTGAGTAAACTAACATTTTTCAAACAGAATTTTAGGATGTTTTTCAAAAACTATTTTCTCCATTGATTCTCTCCCATCTCCTCAGACCTTCCTTAATGAGACCTTAATTTTTTTAATAATCTCCTCTTTTCTTGGGTCTCTCTGGTTGCCTTTTATTCTTTCAGGCTTTCTTCCATTCCTTGTGTTCTCTAACTTTTTCCAGTATTCAAAAAGCTTACCAAAGTTTCCCTTTGCTTCCTTTTATGACTGTCCTCTACTATTCTCTTCCCTTCCTAATGTTTTCATTAATGGCCTGTGGTGTCATGTATCCTAGGCATAGGATACATGGGTTTTCCCCTGTGATAGTATTGCCATGTACAAAAGTTAACACAGGTCAGGTAAAGAATTAGAAAACATACATTACAGTGCTAGACCCAAGAATCTTAACTCTATTTAGTTTAACAAAGAGAAAGTTGACTTGCTAAGTATCTACATAATCCTATTGTTATAACTTCTTCTCTTCTTGGGTGACTTGATCACAGTTTATAAGCGCCTATGGGGGGGACAAAAAATGTGCTAATGGGCTCCTCAGTCTAGCAGACAAAGTTATAGAAAAAGATTCCATATCTGGAAGTTAAAGCTAGACAAAGTCAGGCTGGAAATGAGGTACAATTTTTTATCTGTGAGTGTAGTTAACCACTGGAACAATTTTCCAGAGGTTTTGGTGGATTCTTCATCACTGGAAACTTTTAAATCGAGGCTGGAAGTTTTTCTAAAAGATGTGCCCTAGTTCAAACAAAAATTAATTCGGGGAGGCCCATGGCCTGTGTCATACAGGATATAAGACTAGATTATTATAGTGGTCCTTTCTGACTTTATAATTGATGAACTGAAGAAGGGATTGAGTCGTCCTAAATCTTATGTAACTGTTGATCCTGTAAGTGGTATGATCGCTCTGCCATATACTAAAATGTTTTGTTAACCACATTTTGTTTTGTAAATATTTCAATCCCAATAGTATGCCTGGTAAGAAACAATAAATGAGACCAAATGAATTTAAGTGTAATACTAAAACAACCTTTACTTTTTTTCCCCTTAGAGAGATTACAGTGAACCTTGTGTACAGTGTTCTGTTGTAAACTGGGGTCTTACGGATGAAGGCAGATTTTATTGCAAGTCTTGTCACAACGTCATAGAGGTAAGTACGTATTTTTAAGTATCAGAGGGGTAGCTGTGTTAGTCTGGATCTGTAAAAAAGCAACAGAAAGTCCTGTGGCACCTTTAAGATTAACAGATGTATTGGAGCATAAGCATTCGTGGGTGAATACCCACTTTGTCAGATGCACGTAATGGAAATTTCCAGAGGCAGGTATAAATATGCAGGCAAAAATCAGTCTGGAGATAACGAGGTTAGTTCAGTCAGGAAGGGTGAGGTCCTCTGTTAGCAGTTGAGGTGTGAACACCAAGGGAGGAGAAACTGTTTTTGTAGTTGGCTAGCCATTCACAGTCTTTGTTTAATCCTGATCTGATGGTGTCAAATTTGCAAATGAACTGAAGCGCAGCAGTTTCTCTTTGGAGTCTGGTCCTGAAGGTTTTTTTGCTGTAAGATGGCTACGTTTACATCTGCTATTGTGTGGCCAGGGAGGTTGAAGTGTTCTCCTACAGGTTTTTGTATATTGCCATTCCTGATATCTGACTTGTGTCCATTTATCCTTTTACGTAGTGACTGTCCAGTTTGGCCAATGTACATAGCAGAGGGGCATTGCTGGCACATGATGGCATATATAACATTGGTGGACGTGCAGGTGAACGAACCGGTGATGTTGTAGCTGATCTGGTTAGGTCCTGTGATGGTGGTGTTGGTGTAGATATGTGGGCAGAGTTGTCATCGAGGTTTGTTGCATGGATTGGTTCCTGAGTTAGAGTTGTTATGGTGCGGTGCGTGGTTGCTGGTGAGAATATGCTTAAGGTTGGCAGGTTGTCTGTGGGCGAGGACTGGCCTGCCTCCCAAGGTCTGTGAAAGCGAGGGATCATTGTCCAGGATGGGTTGTAGATCACTGATGATGCGTTGGAGAGGTTTAAGCTGAGGACTGTAGGTGACGGTCAGTGGAGTTCTGTTGGTTTCTATCTTGGGCTTGTCTTGTAGCAGGAGGCTTCTGGGTATACGTCTGGCTCCTTATTTCTTTGTGCGGATATCGTAGTTTTGAGAATGCTTGGTGAAGATCTTGTAGGTGTTGGTCTCTGTCTGAGGGGTTGGAGCAGATGCGGTTGTACCTCAGTGGCACACTCAAAATAAGATCTCCTGTCTTATTTTAGTAAAATCCATTTGTGTGGAGGGTTGGTTACTTATGAAAGTCTCCAGGTTGGAGAGCATTTTTTTTGATGTTTTCCTGTTTGCTGTATAGGATGCTGATCAGGTCGTTCCTCAGTTTCTTTGATAGTGTATGGCATAATCTCTCACCGTGGTCTGTGCAGTATGTAGATAGCAATGGATTTTTCACCTTCCGTCCATTTGGTATGATGTCCATCCGTTTGCATTTGGAAAGGAAGATATCATCTGTCTGTACTTGTGCAAGTTTCTTCATGAGGTTGATAGATTTCCATTCCATACGGCTAAATGCAATGCCTTGCATGGAGTCAAGTATCAGAGGGGTAGCCGTGTTAGTCTGGATCTGTAAAAAGCAACAGAGTCCTGTGGCACCTTTAAGACTAACAGATGTATTGGAGCATAAGCTTTTGTGGGTGAATATCCACTTCATCAGACGCATGCCACATTCACCCACGAGCCACACTGTTGATCAGGTGGTTATAGAAAGTGCAGTGTAACCTGCATTATTCAGATCTCGCTATGTGAAAAGCTTACTTAAACAGGGTAGTGGTTTTAAATTTAAAGAAAATCCTTCTTTCCTTAACTGTGCTGATAAATATTCTTTAGGGTTTTTTTTAACTGAATGAATTTAAAGAATTATTTCTTTTCTTCATTTATGCTTGTTTTCTTTTTGCATTTCACTTATTTTGGAGAATGAAAACAGACTTGTCAGTTTTGCTCTCTTCTCATGTGAGAGCACAGTTGCCAAGTTTAAATCCAAACATAAGTGTCTTTGTTCAATGATACTGCTATGGTTTGTCAAACATAAACTTTTATTTATATTTTATTCACAATCCTAAACTTTGGTTAAAAGTGTCTACTTTTAACTTTAATGCATATACATTTTGGTGATCTAAAAAGGTAATGAAAAATGTTAGTGTTTTGTTGAAGCTTAGTTAAATATTTACTGCATATCTGATTACATGTGTGATGTCTAGTTGTATGTAGATAATTTCAGTATATAAACACTTTTAAAAAATTTTTTCAAGCATACTCATAGTTATTTCAGTATCTTGATTTAGTGCCTGGATCTTTTGTCTCTAATTTTTTTTTCAATGTACAGTTAAATTTAAGTATTTATCTTACAATAACTTTGACACTTCGATTTCCAATATTTTCTAACAGTGAAGCCTGTTTAATTTTCCACTGCATCATCCATATGTTCCTGTTTGCTTATCATTCTTAAATTTAAGATTCACGATTTTTTGAGACTTAGTCTTTTCTCTGTTAGATGTAATGATTAGAAGTAATTCTCCAATTAAGGTATACAGCAGAGGCAGGCCATGCAAGTAGGGATTGCTCTTTTCTTGCTAACATTACACTTTTATCAATTATCTTGCAGAGGACTAAAGAGGTTTTAACTTCTGATGTTGTTCCTAACACAAAGATCCAGTCCATCTCCAGAGGATTTAGAAAGAGAAAAAAAATTGGTATGTTTACTTTTGTCTATATCTTACTTCTACATTTTGTGTAACATATCTTTCTAGTTGTGTATAATTACTAATTTTCTGGTAGTACTTACCAACTTGGTTAGTGTGAGCAAATGGGTTTTTCTACAGAACTATACAAACTGAATTGAGCTGAAAATGACCCTTTTGTTCTTGCTGGGCCTGCTCTAGCTGCATTGGTTTAATTAAAGGTGTGATATTAAACAGGTCCAATTTTTTGTTTATATATTCTTATATGGGTTAAAATTTGGTTTACATTATATTTGCTTGACTCTGTAATTTAACAGTGATGCACTAATGTAAACCAGGTTTAAGCCAGTGTAAAAGAGTTTCCATGCACAAAGTTGCCTGACCTTAAAAACTGACTTAGTTAAACTGGTGCAACTTCTGTGTGTTAAGTCTCTGTTCTCTTGCTGAAAAGTGCTTTCAACAGGCGATGTAGAAATCATAGAATATCAGGGTTGGAAGGGACCTCAGGAAGTCATCTAGTCCAACCCCCTGCTCAAAGCACGACTAATCCCCAACTAAATCATCCCATCCAGGGTTTTGTCAAGCCTGACCTTAAAAACCTCTAAGGAAGGAGATTCCACCACCTCCCTAGGTAACCCATTCCAGTGCTTCACCACCCTCCTAGTGAAAAAGTTTTTCCTAATATCCAACCTAAACCTCCCCCACTGCAACTTGAGACCATTACTCTTTGTTCTGTCATCTGCCACCACTGAGAACAGTCTAGATCCATCCTCTTTGGAACCCCCTTTCAGGTAGTTGAAAGTAGCCAGCAAATCTCCCCTCATTCTTCTCTTCTGCAGATTAAATAATCCCAGTTCCCTCAACCTCTCCTCATAAGTCATGTGCTCCAGCCCCCTAAGCATTTTTGTTGCCCTCCGCTGGACTCTTTCCAATTTTTTCACATCCTTCTTGTAGTGTGGGGCCCAAAACTGGATACAATACTCCAGATGAGGCCTCACCAATGCCGAATAGAGGGGAATGATTACGTTCCTCAATCTGCTGGCAATGTTCCTACTTACACAGCCCAAAATGCCGTTAGCCTTCTTGGTAACACTGTTGATTTATATCCAGCTTCTCATCCACTGTAACCCCAAGGTCCTTTTCTGCAGAACTGCTACCTAGCCACTCAGTCCCTAGTCTGTAGCTGTGCATGAGATTCTTCCGTCCTAAGTGCAGGACTCTGCACCTGTCCTTGTTGAACCTCATCAGATTTCTTTTGGTCCAATCCTCTAAAATAGTAATTGTGTGTCTTTAAATTGTGCTCTCAAGGTCTCTACCAGTCCTATGATCATATGCTGTTATACCTATTGTAAAGCTATTGCTGAAACTGGATAAACGTCCTGTGAAGGTTGTGGCAGTCATTTGTTCTGTTGTCTTGGCCACTTACATTGAAACACCTAAAAAAGTATCTGACTTTATAAAGAATCTTAGTGCTGCTATACAAACTGCTGTGCCACAGTGAAAGTGGTGGTAGAACGCTGTGTTCAGAATGAAGTGCTGAAGATTAGGAAAGGAAACAATCCTTGTGGCTCTGCTCCCTTCAGCCTTTTCTGGCTCCTATGACCTGATCGAGACACAATTTTTGTACCGATTTTCAAGTATTTGTTAGGGATATGGTAAAAAATAAAGTTAGATTGTTATAGCCCCTAATGTGGATGCAGTTATATACCATTATAAAGGTGCCTTATGCTGATACAGTTTATTCTCCTAAATGTACAGGAGTTAGCCATACCACTATAAGCACATTGAAACCACGATAGATAGTGGTACAATCCTGGTATAAAACTGGCATAGTTAAAGCAGGATAAAAATTATGTTTAGACAAGCCCTAAGTGTGGGTCGAGGAGAAGGGAAGCTGTTGGAAGGGAGAAGCATTTGTAGATGAAGTAGATCATGAAGAGGGAAGAGGAAACTGAGGCAGACACTTGACATATAGAGGAAAGAAGGACATTTACATAACACAGATGGTGAACGGCATAGGGGAAATGAGAGAGTGGATAAACACAGAGAAAATTCACAAGACTAAAACCCAGTGTAGGAGGAATGAGTGCACACAAAAGTAAAGGCACAATTAAAATATGTAAGACTTGAATTCAGGAGACAATAAAGGGAGAAACTGTGGAGAAACATACAAAGGGGGATAACATAGGAGACAATCATACAGAACATATAAAGAACGAATACTTTTTTCTCCCCCATTCACTACTGCAGTGGGTTCCAGTTTTTTGTGCTGGGAAAGGGAGAGGAATAAGCACACCTATTCTTTCCTTCATGACTAGTATCTTGTGTGTTATTTTAAGATTCAGGTCACCTAACAGTCATAACATACATTACAAACACCATATTGATAACTTTGACTTTGCTACAACTGTTTTGGTTCTTGAGAAATGTTTGGGGAAACTGTTATAGTTTGGCTGGTTTTGGTTTTTCTTAATTTAAGATTCTAAACTTCACTTACTTATTGAGGTACTTTAATCACTTAGTATGTTTTTGGCCCTTTGCTCCAGCATTTGGGATTTTCTTATTTAAAAGAGGTACCTAGTCCCTGCACCAAGAGATTAATATATTAAATATTAAAGTGTAGATATGTAAAACCAGAACAATCCCAACAATTTTTTATTTGTTGCTCTTTAGATAAAGGCTGGGAATGGTATGTTTGTGAAGGTTTTCAGTACATACTCAAGAAGCAAGCTGAAGCTCTGCAAACTTTAGGAGTGTGTCCACAGATGAAGGTATGTTGATCTGAACATAAGGTTTTGTATTAGTACATACAGTCTTTATGATTTTTACTTAAAGAATATAATTATTTTAAGGTAGACAGAATAATTTGCTCTTAAAAACTGACAGGAAATGGGCCAATAGATGAGGGGCCGAGAAAGAGAACCTCTGAAAATAAAATTTACCAGGAACAGTAAAAGTAATTTATAATTTTATAAACAAGGTTTTCGTGAAAGCAGGCTCAGAACATTTTTCAAGATTCTTGAATTGTAAAGTCACAATTTGTTTTTTCACACACATGATTTTATAAGATATAGACTAATCATTCATTATTATGCTTATCAGGATGAAATTCTATGCAATTTCTGGAGACGTTACCTTCAGAAGAGCAAACAGGCATATTGCACCACACCAGCTAGTTATACTAGCAAAGCATTATCTGTAAGTGAAGTTCATCGCTGATAAGCAAATTATTTTGCATTTATCTTTTAAAATGTTGTTTTTGTTATTCAAGCCATGCATACAACTTGCTCATTTTAATGAAGCCCATTTTCTAAATATATTTTGCCATTTTAAGAAAATATCTGTTGTGCTGATGGAAAATTGTTCATTTTTAATATCTTGCTTTGCTATTGTGTAGCCAGCCAGCAGATGGAGCACAAATTACAATGCACTATATTTCTAGAGCTGTGTTGACGCTGACATAATCCACAAATGATGGCATAGAAACAAATATGTTATGGGTATGTTACGCTTCAATACAACACCTGAGGCTGGCCCATGTCAGCTGACTTGGGCTCGGGCTACAGGGCTGCTTAATTGAGATGTAGATATTCAGACTCGGGGTGGAACACAGGCTCTGGCACCTTCCCCTCTCATGGGAGTTAGCAGACCCTGGATTTGTTAACGTATGGCTTAAACATCTACTCTCATTTGTAACCCCAGGTTCGGAATTGTTGAATCCTGGGTCACTACCTGTGACCTCCAGTGTCTACACTGCATTGTGCAGGTCTGAGTCCAACTACCCATATCCCAGACTTTCTAGTGCCCTGTCAAAATGTCTGCTCTAACCCTTTGTTCCTGGTGCAGTGTGGGAAAACTTGACTGTCCACCACACTTGACTATCCAGAGGACAAAGAAAGTTATCCTGTGGGGTGATTTTGGCAGACTCACAGAGCACGAGTCCAGTGGTGCTGCGTCTACACTGCAGAGCAATAGGGCTTGAACCCTGGGTCTGGGCTTGACTCAGGCTCAGACCCTCCACCCCTGTAGGGTCTTGAGACCATGGGTCCAAGCTCTGGGTTGACACAATTTGTGTGTTGATGGAAGGGGGTTAGGCTTGAGCCTGAGTTTGACCCCTGGGCTTACACTGTGGTGTAGACATACCCTAAAGGGCTATCTTGGCTTGTGATCCATAGGCGAGACTATTTGCAGATGTGAATCCTGGTGGTCATGCAAGTATTTTGTGTGGAGAAAGGTCCAAAAAGAACCAATCTTTGAACCTCTCTTTGGAAGAGCCACTCCTGTGGAGTTATCTGATCTCACACAGGTTATAGAGCTAGTCAAAAAATTATTTAGTTCTAGAATTTTCCAATCGGCTCCAAATCTAACAGTCTTCCCCCTTCTCAAATTGCATATTTCATGAATATTTATGATTCTGTGTATTGGATACCTCCTGGGTAGTATGGCAGGTTGGGATGGCTACCTAATCATTGGAATTATTTTATTCTGACAAACACACTGTTAAAATGAGGAAGAGCTTTTTGAAAGGGTGGTTTCTAATGCTATGAATTTACATGATTAAAAGCAAAAACATTCTCGGTATGACTTGCTTTAGCTTACACCTAGACTGTCAATCACATGTTTGCTAACTGAGACATTATTGAGCTTTTACAGGTCAAACTATTGCGTTAGAACTAACATGGGATAAAACTGTAACTTATTTAAAAAAACAGATGTCTGACATCAGTACAGATGTGGATAGCGAACCAGAGAGAATAAGTATTCATGGCTTGTCATCTTTCTCTGAAAGTGATGGAGATTTACAGACAGAAAGCAGCTTTGGACATGTTTCTTCCATTGGCAATGCCTCAGGTAGGAGCAGATATAATTTGAAGTCACTGTTCTATATTGTTAGGATGCGTTTTAAAAATGACTGTTTGTTTAGTACTAATCAGAAGGATTTGTTGCTTATATAGAGGTAGAAAATGTAGATGGAGGATTTCCTTCTTATTTATCAACAGTGTACTAGTCATATAAATAGTCACGGTCCCTCTCCAAGGAGTTAAAGGCTAGACAGGCACGTGAAACATGAGGGTCGCTGAAAAAAGTTCTATTTTTTCTTGGGGGTGGGCAGGGGGAGTTGTTTGGTTTTGTTTAGGGGGGTGATGGTGGTGGTTGTGGACAGGGTTAAACTTTACCTGATGACTGCTACTCAGGGTAGAAAAATAATGAGCCAGCATGCCCCTCAGGACCAGGCCTTCAAAAGCACTGCAATTTTAAGGCAGTAACATATGTGTAGTTAGTGACAATTTTGTCACTCATATCTCTATTAAGTTCTCAAAAATATAGTTTATTGTGTGTCTTACTTCTCTGTTAAGTATCAGAGGGGTAGCCATGCTAGTCTGAATCTATAAAAAGAAACAGAGGGTCCTGTGGCACCTTTAAGACTAACAGAAGTATTGGGAGCATAAGCTTTCCTGGGTAAGAACCTCACTTCTTCAGATGCAAGACTTCTGTGTTATTTTCTTTCAATTTCTGGCTGTAGTTAACTTTTTCTTTCCTATAAGCAAAGAATGTGTTGTCTTCAGTGTTTTTTTTTTTTTTAATTCTCTTCCATTTTTTTCCCTACGTTATGCTTTCTGGTTTCTCTTCTATATTTTCTGTCTGTATGTTTTTCTCCCCCCATAACTCCTCTCTACCATAATTCAGTTTTTTAACTTCCCATCAATCTCTCCTGTCCACTCACAGACTTGGAAATTTTACTAGACGCTTACTAGCCATTGTACTAACCCTTCTAACTAAAACCCAATACAAAATTGGAGGGGCAGGAGCACTGTCTGGATAGAAGCCAGGAATACCACAATATCTGTTGTTGGACATAAAAGCATCTAAGTAGATTTGAACTTTTACGTCAACTTCAATCTTGTCCATAACCTATTTTCACAAATCTCTTTGCTTGCATCTCCTTTTGCTTCCCCTTGCCACCTCTATTTTGCCCTATGTCAGATGCTGCTGCCATGTTTGTCTTGCTCCTGTTCTCATTTTTTCTCCCTTTACGCAGCCTCATATGCCTGGAATCTCATCATTCTTTCCTGTGCTCTTCCATTTGGTCTTCTATTAAAATGCAGCTCTTCTGAAACCTATAAACTCTAGTTTTCCCTTCAGTGAAGAACAACAAGAATAACAAAATTATAAAAGAAAAAAATCCAAACAAAAATAATGGAAACAGTAAAACACACGCTTAGCTTTCCCATTCATTAACAACACGTGTTTTATCCCATTTCCCATCCTATGTCTTTACATTTTCTACTTAAGTAGCAGGGTCTTCAGAGCAGGGATTTTTGTCGTCTTCTATATTCACATAGCACACTGGCACTATACAAATAATAGGTAGGGCAAAACTTTTTAGTGAACATTTACTGTTATAAATGTTCCAACACAGGTTGCTTTACAATTCACATTGTCTGTAAAGCTTCTTCCTTCCTTAGTTCTTTCTTCCATTTAGGACGGTTGCTTTCTGCAGTAACATTTATCTTTTATAGCAGTTGTAGAGTAACAGATATAATTTTGAGGAAGGCAAGTAATTACCGGATCCTTCCTATACTCCTGGGGGAATTCTGCACCACTGTGCATGTGCAGAATTTGTGTTCTCTGCAGAAAATTGACTTTCTGGTGGGGAAGCAAAGGGAAGTTAGCAGACCCCAGCAGTATGTTTCGGATACCCAGGGCAGCTGGCAGAGAGGTAAATCACTGTGGGGTAGGGGGCCGGACTGGTGAAGACCCAACTGATGGCTCCTACCCTGTGCAGGCTCAGCTGCTCGTCCTGGCTGGGCTTGGGAGGGCGGGACTTCCTCTTCCCCTGCACGGCATCAGGGGCTGTCAGACTCATCCCCAGATTTTTCCTGTGCATCCAGACCCCCCTCATACCCAGATGCTCCCGCCAAACCTCACCCCCATCGACTCAGGACACTCCCCCTCCCCCCGATGAGCTTCACTCCCCCTGCAGCTGGACCATGCCATCGAGCCACCCGGATCCCCACTCCACTGAGCTTCAACCAGCTGCATCTGGATCCCCACTCCCCCAGCATCTGGGACCCCCCTGCAGAGTCCCATTACCATTGCACCTGGAACCCCCCAACAAGCCCCTGTGCATCCAGACCCCCTCCCACCTCACACACACAGATCCCACACTGAGCCGCCTGCACCCAGATTGCCCCACACAGAACCATCTCAACCCGCACCTGGATCTCTCCACACTTGGATCCTGCCTTGCTGAGCCTGCCTGCCACACCTGGTGCACCTGGCACAGAGGGGCAGGCCCGGTCCTTGCGCTGCGTCAGGGTTGGGTGCAGCCTAACCACTGAGTCTGTATACCGGGGAGAAGCTGCACAGTGATCTCCCACCTCTGTGCAGCTAGTGGCCTGTGCTCCCCAATGCCATGCTGGAGCCTCCACATTTATTTGACAAATAAAATTTGCAGAATTTGGCAGAATTTTTATTTTTTTGGTGCCGAATGCCCTCAGGAGTATTCCTAGCTTATCATTGTTTCACACTGTGGATTACAAAAATGGAGTCCAGATTTTTTTAAGTGATCGCACCTGTTTTCGTAAAAGTACTTTAAAAGTCAATACTGTTGAATTCAGCAACATAAAATTACTGGTGCGGTTTGGTTAGCTGTGTCTAAGAGATCATATGTACAGAGTAGCTGTCATTTGTATAATGAAAGTTGGTCCAAATGAGCAGTATTGCATTTTTTTCTATGCATTGGCTACTCATAAATTGTGTATAATTACATTTTTTCTGTGCTGTTTCATTGAATTATTGATGGTTTGCTGAGGGGGATTTGGTACCCCTTTAAAATGCTTTTCTAATTAATAAACATTTTATCTTTGTTATGTTTATCTGGGGATAATAGCTCATTATTCAGCAAGCTGATAGGCTAACATTCCATTTGGTGTAGTCTAGTCGTTGTTTGAGAAGCCTATTAAATTCTTAAGTTGTTGTTATGATGTTTAATTGTATGTTGTGTCAGGTTTAGTGCTGACTGAGCAATGTGCCCTTTATAACCTGGAACAAATGAAAGGAAAGCTGCTATGTCACCAAGACAGCTACAAATAGAACAAGAGGATTATTTTTAATTAAGCCATATATAAAGTTAGCAATGAAGTTTCAACCACGAGGCCTCCTTTAGACACAGCTCATACATATAAAAGGTGAAATTGGTGATTGAAAGGATTACCTGACATTCATGCTTTTGTTCTGTAACTCGCATGCACACAATAGATGTTCTAGGATAGCTTTTGTGTTGATTTCGCCATTTTTACCAGACATGCACTGGGGAATCAGTTCCTTGATAACTCTATTTTAAATGTCTTTGCGGCATCTTTAATGCCTGAGATAAAAATGTAATTCTCTTTATGAGGGCACTTCTGAGAGCCAAGAATTGCTGAGTTCTAATCCCCAACTCTGACACATTCAGCTTTGGCAAATCACTTATCCTTTCTTCCTTGATATCCCATGTGTAAAATTAGGATAATACTTGTACCTACCTCATGGGATGTTGTGAGGGATTAGTCAGTGTTGGTAATGTGCTGTATAGGAATTAAGTATTAGCACCTTTCTAGAGAGCCAAGTTTAAACATGGTTATCACTAGAATGGTGCTTTCAGGTTTAACATTTTTGTATAGACTGAGGTGACGCACACAGTTTTTCTGGTGTGCCAGTGGGAATTTCCCCTAGAGAATGGCCATACTGGGTCAGACCAAAGGTCAATCTAGCCCAGTATTCTGTCTTCTGACAGTGGCCAATGTCAGGTGCTTCAAAGGGAATGAACAGAACAGGTAATCATCAAGTGATCCATTCCATAACCCATTCCCAGCTCCTCAAATATTTGTTACTTACCCTGATCTCTTATTAGCGAGTCTGTGGAGCTACATTGGCACTGGTTCTCAGCCAGCTTGTCTTCTTGTGTTACAGTAAGAGGTACTTTGAGAGTTAAGCCATTTAGAACACTAACGCCAAAGCTTTGATTTGAAACCGTAATGGCTAAACACAGCTTGTTGGATGATCGATTTCTCTTGTTCTCTGCATATTTACATGTTCAGTGTAGCATATTTTGTCTATAAAGTTATTTTATATGTAATTTTTTTTTCTTATCAGCAAGAGAAACCACATCTATCTGCTCCGGATCGGTAGATGGTGGCTCATATTTACTTAAGAGGAAAAAAGGGAACTTGAGGATGTCTATGCCAATGACACTTTCATTCTGCTATATTGCATTACTCTGGCTGAGAGAACCAGTGACATTATCAGATCTCTTAAGGTATGAATAGTCTCTGTGAAATATTTGCTGCTGTTGTAAGTAATGTTTTTTTAATTTGGGTTGCTTGCTTGTTAACTAGTTGAATTATAGGTAGAGCTGATAGTGATCCGATATTTTGTTTGCCTCACACTTTCCATGATAGAAGATTCTTGCAACCATTTTTTGAGAGTCTCTAATAGCTCTGTTGTTTGCAGCAAGTGTTTGAAATTTGTCAGGGAGAAAGTCCTAGTGTTAGAGAAGTGCCTTTTCTTTGTCCCATGAAATTATTTTCAGATTTAGTTGAGTTGTAAATAGATATATATTGCAGTTTCACTTCTCTCATTTGTATTCCTGAGGAGAATGTTGATAGCCTGCCTAATAACTGAACGAATACTCTAAAGATCTAGGTTTGTGCTACTGCCAGAACATCAGCAGCAATACAAACCATAAATCTGGCATTTTCTAGCTTTCATTTTCTTGACCTAAATAATTGTCTTTTTAACACATTTTTGTATGCAATAAAGTATAGGCATAGACTCAATGACAGACCAAATTGAGAAAAAAAATATGCCCAGAAATTGTGCGAATATTCAGGCTTGCCATTTTAGTTCTTTGTAGGTAGTTCATGAATATTTAAAACAATAGAATAATAGTCGTGCTAAATGTTCCACCTTTTTTTGTGTGTGTGTGTGGTTTTCCCGTAAAGTGGTAGTCAGCTGACTACTGCTCCTCCCCTGTGATTTGTGCTTGGGCACCACATCAGGCAACCAGACAGTTTCTAAGGGATTTATATTACAGCACCAAAAATATTCTTATTGCTATTTGGTGCATTCAGTACATAACCTTGCAATTAACTCATCTTAAAGGGACACTGTGGTTAAAATAACATTTTTAAAATGTTCCTACATATGTTTCAAATAGCAATATTTGAAAACTAACATTCAATGTGCTGTTTATTTTTTGTATTCATCTCAACAAGTAAGACTACAGTTTCAACATTGTAGACTTCACGTGGCTGTAGAATAATACTGTAATGCAATCCAAACCTGGCTAAATCTAGCTATGTTGGCAAGACCAAAATTGTAACCAGTTTGTTGTACTTGGCATATTGGTTTTTTTCATATTATACACAGGACCTAGGGCTTATCCACACTTGGATTACCATATTTAAAAGGACAGAGACTATAAGCCCCATCTCTGTTTTTGCAATAGAAAAGTGTTTGAAACCTTGTTTAAACATAGTTTATTCTAAATTCTAAACAACACTTCATAAAATGAGTGTGGACGTGCCAAAAGATGTTAGAACTGCTTTTAAAAAATATTCTCGAACATGGGCTCTTTGGGTAGGTGTCATACGAAAATTGGATGTTTTCCCACACAATTTTTACCTTCATTGTAGTATTTGTGATATTTTCTATATTTAGAATGGAGAACATGTCACTTAGATTAACTGCTGTGAGTGATAACTAAGGCTGCTTGGTCGCAGAAGTCATGGATTCTGTGACTTTTCATGACCTCTGTGACTTCTGCAGTGGCTAGTGTGGCTGACTTCAGGGCCAGCTGCTCAGGCGCTCCACAGCCAGCTGCACTGGCTGCTGCTGGAGCGACCTGGGGCCAGCTGCTCCGGTGGTACCTGGGGCCAGCCACACTGGCTGCTGCTCGGGAAGCCTGGGGCCAGATGGCTCCAGGGACTGCCTGAGCAGCATTCCTGGGGGAGATCCCGGGGAGCACCCGTTCAGCGGTCCCCAAGCAGCTGGCTCCAGGGACCACTGGAACAGCGGCTGGTGTGGCTGGCTCAGGGAGTGCCCAAGCAGCAGTCCTGGGTGTGCCCTGGGGACTGCCCAAGCAGCAGTGGTCCCAGGGTGGCTGGAGCAGGGGCCCCAGAAGTAGAGATTTAGTCAGGGATATTTTTGGTAAAAGTCATGGACATGTCGTGGGCCATGAATTGTTATTTATTGCCCGTGACCTGTCCATGACTTTTACCAAAAATACCTGTGACTAAATCATAGCCTTAGTTGATAAGTGTCCAACTTTGTAATGGGTCCTTTATACTAGGGCTATGAGGGTTCTTTAAAAACAGTTGTAACAGGTAGAACCATGTTTAGTGAGTACTGTGTTTAAAGTGTATCAAAATACATCTTGCCCCAGGCAAATATAGACTGGTCCTGTAGTGCAGTTGTCTAACACAGTTCTCCAGGGGTCGGGGAGGAGAGGGGATTTTATTGTCCATATTGGTTTGGAAAACTGCATCATTCCGATCCCAGTGTAGACTGGACATTTCAGTTATATAATTAATTCCTTATTTGTGAATCAGTGATGTCAAATTGATGGAAGAGTGCACAGAATTTCAGAATAAAAAGTACTAGGCAAGATAACTTTCTAAAATCACATTAAAACTGTTACAAATGTTGCAATCATTCTATTATTTATTTAATGTATCTTCATTTTAAAATAACTTTGAATCTAGTATTTCTAGAATAATTCAGCATAAATTTATACTGTAGTTCTAACTATACTATGAATTTAAATTCCAGATCTCAAAGAAATGGTCATAGAGTGCAGTCATAGGGAGTGATTGACATTCACTTACAGTAGTTCTTCTTAAATGGAATGTTGATAAATAGCAAGTAATATACAACAAGTAGCTTCTTTTCTATGACTTAAATCTTCTTAAGGAATGCCTGTTTAGTAATTTCTCTAACTTTGTTTTTACTTATAAAAGTGAGTTGAAGGAAGGGATATTCTGTCTCTGCCCTCTAGTATGTGGTGTTTCTTTTACTTCCTTGACACTGTCTGCCAGGGCCTAAACAAAGAGAAGTACTGCATGTTTGTTCAGTGAAATTTTGCAAACAGGCACTGACTTTTTAGGAATATGTCATCTCAGTATTGGGCCATCCAAGTTCCTGGTGTCCTTTTCTAAAATCAACATTGCATTTTCTGTTACAACAGTGACTTCTTTCATTTTTCTTTTTTTTAAACCACTGCTCTTTACTGTTTTTGTTCTTGCTTATTGAATTAAGGTAACTGCCCAGATATCTAGGTATAAGCCTCTCTCCCCCCCTCCCCACCTGACCAGCATAAGTTACATTGACAGAAGCGCTGGTGTGGACAGTGCTATGTTGGCGGGAGATGCTCTCCTGCCGACATAGCTACCGCTGCTTGTTGGGGGAGGTTTAATTATGTAGACGGGAGAGCTCTCTCCTGTCGGCATAGATCAGCTACATGAGAGGTCTTGCAGTGGCGCAGCTGCATCGGTACAGCTGTGTTGCTGTAAGGTCTCTAGTGTAGAAATAGCCTAAGCGTGTGATCCTTGTGACTTAGTACTTGGTACTGGTGTATTTTAAAAATAAACCAAAAAATCTTCCCTAACTCTACAGTCAAAACCTATGCTGTATCTGAGTATGTCTTAAACCTCCTGCAGGAAATTTAATTTTCTTGTTTTTCTCTTTGTAATAAACACATTTTGCAACATTCATACCAACCAGAGTATCACTTCCTACCAGGAATCCTATTTTAAAAATCCTGGGATTTTAAAAAAAGTGTAGTGAATTTAGCGTTCATGAAACCTGTTGGTTTGATAACTTTCTAGGCTGAGGCCTGCTGTTTAGCCTCATCATGGGTAGTATAAAGTTTCCACTAATGTGCCTTAATTCCGACCTGGAGCGGCCACCTCTTATAGTGAGGTTAATTCAGTCTCCCTCTCAATTCAAAACTTGGTTTGTTTGCTGATAATGTCCAGCTGGGTGCCAGATATTGGTAAGTGTTATGGTGTTTTTTGTGATTTAAACAGCTGCCTACTAAGAGCTAGACCACAACTCATTTCATGTGAGCTATTGAATAGCCAGCAGATGACACTATTGAGATGGGCTGGATTTGAACCTGTGATCTCTATGTGAAAAAGCCCATGTTATTACCACTCTCTCCTCCCCTCATTTCCCCCCCACCATATTTTTTGAAAAATTAAAAATCCGAAGTGTGTTTAGACATTTATCTAAAATAAATGCATTTTATATATTGATAAAATACATAATTGTATGGTTTTCTGATTTAGTTACATATAAGCTAACAGTTCTATGACCCTGATTGCACGAGCTCTGCATACTTGCTGTGGAAATATTAAACTCTTCTTGCATGTTTAGTTAAGTATGTAATGGATTTGGGGAGCAAAATGCTATAGCCCTATAACAGTGTTATCATAAAAGTGTACTTACTGTCTTCTTAAGAGCATAGCCCAATATTGAAAATATTTTAATTAAATTATTCTACCTATTCGTAAGAATTGACTGTATAAAGAATGTGCAGGGAAAGCTGGATATAAACATGTCTTTAGTAAACTCAGTGCCCTAACTTTATCTGAGAGTCACATCTGAGCTTGAATTTTAATATTCTAGCTCTCATGTTAAAGAACAGGCAGCTTTAAGTGCCATTTAAAAAAAAAGTACATGATGCTTTAAACTAAATGTTGATTTGACTTAAACTCTTTTTTTATTTAGGTTTGTTATAGATGGTCACATTCCTTACTTGAATGCTTTTCAGTATTTTCCAGAGGAGATGAAATTGTATGGAGTTGATCTCAAGATCTTTCGTGTAGAGGTGACTTTTATCCTTTTATTTTTATTTAATAAGCTACATATCTTATGGTATATTGTACTCCTGGGTTATGGTACTGACAATTTGAGTGAATCTACCTTTGTTGTGATATTATTTTGCTTCCTGGTAGTCATGCAGGAGCCAGTGAGCAAATTATTCTGATTACTTTCATATTTAAATTAGAATAATTAGGTTGATAACTTGATAAGTACTGAACAGGTTTTTCTCATAGATTCCAGGGCCAGGAAGGACCATTGTGATCATCTAGTCTGCCCTCATAGAACATAGGCTATAGAACTTCTCCCAAAATAATTCCTAGAATATATCTTTTAGAAAAATGTCTGATCTTGATTTAAAAACTGTCAGTGATGGAAAGTCCACCACGACCCTTGGTAAATTGTCCCAATGATTAATTACCGTCAAGTGTTTGTTTGTATTATGTTTGCTTATCTCTTCGGAAATACAGAAACATAAATAGAATTTAGGCTCTTTTTCCCATAAAGGCAAAATATCCTTTGAATACTCAGTTGAAATCTCCCTCTTTTTGGAAGCAAGTTCTATCAGTTTATAGTATGATGTGTTCTTGCTATATTTATTGGATTTTTTTCTTTTTTAGTGTTTCGTGTAACAATGTAAATTTTGCTAAAGAGATCACGTTAATATGTTCTGTCCATATGAAAATAGTCTCCCTGCTGCTCGTACTTAGCTGCCTTTCCCTTTGGCCCACTTTGTAGAACATCTAAAGCACTTACTGCCTCGTACCCCTTCTAGCTATGGGATTCTCTCTTTGAGGGCACTGCACAGTCAGATCCTCTTCTGCCTGATGAGAATTAGAGAAATTAGTGGCTTCTGTGTGTGTGGTTTCATTTCCTCCTCCCTTTCCCCCGGGAAGGAGAACTTGACAACATCCTGTACCTGACCATTGATGCCCTACCAAGGAAGGCATTACAAGAGCTGACTGGAAACAAGAATTATGTTTCATGAAAAATTTTGAGGATTCAGAATTTTCATTCCACCTAGAAAGAAAACCGATCTTTTGACTTTCCCCAAAAAACGAGGGAGGGAAGGAGAGAGACCAGAATACCCCAGAATGTCCAATAACCTGTTGGCTAAGGCACTTGCGTGGAACATGGAAGACCCAGGTTCAAGCCCCTGCTCTGCCTGATTCAAGAAATATGTTAGCCAGGCAGTCAGATTGCACAGATTATGCTCTGAGGAAAAAGTCTGGGGTGCACATTTTAACACACTTAAAACCACGGTCACCAAAGAAGAACACTTCACCAGAGAAGTAGACTGCATCATTGAACAGGCCACCCAAATACCCTGTATTGAAGCAGGTTCTCTCAGGAAAAAGCCCTTTGATCACACACTCCTAGTCCATAGACTCGTAGGACTGGTAGGGACCTCAAGAGGTTTTCTAGGCCAGTCCCCTGCACTCAAGGCAGGATGAGCCGACGATTCATTGTAATAAGAGCAAAAGCAAAAATGTGATTGTGGTCCATGCTCACAATTAAATGTGCACACTGCGTCGTAGCAAACAGATTAATGTATGGATGGCAACAACTTTGTGTAATGATATGCAAGCTTAACAGAAATTTGTCAAAATGCACAGCGACATCGGGGGACCTGATATATCTGGAGGAATCAGCTTTGCTAGTTATTCATTGCTTGTGGGTAAAGCTTCATGCCCCTCCCACCCCCCTCCAGTTTGAGAACCTCTGATCTAGACTATCCCTGACAGGTGTTTGTCTAACCTGCTCTTTAAAATCCCCAATGACGGAGATTCCATAACCTTCCCAGGCAATTTATTCTAGTGCTTAATTACCCTGACAGGAAGTTTTTCCTAATGTCTAATCTAAACGGCCCTTGTTGTAATTTAAGCCCATTGCTTCTTGTCCTATCCTCAGAGGTTCAAGAGAACAATGCTTCTCTCTCCTCCTTGTAACAACCTTTTATGTACAGTACTTGAAAACTGTTATTTTGTCCCCCCCTCAGTCTTCTCCAGATTAAACAAACCCATTTTTCCAATCTTCTCTAATAGATCATGTTTTCTAGACCTTTAATTGTTTTTGTTGCTCTTCTCTGGAATTTCTCCAATTTGTCCACGTCTTTCCTGAAATGTAGTGCCCAGAACTGAACACAATACTCCAGTTGAGGCCTAATCAGCGTGGAGTAGAGTGGAAGAATTACTTATTGTGTCTTGCTTACAACACTCCTGCTAATACATCCCAGAATGGTGTTTGCTTTTTTTTTTTTTTTTAACAACACTGTTACACAGTTGACTCATATTTAACTTGTGATCCATTCTGACCTCCAGATCCTGTTGCACAGTATACCTTCCTAGGCAGTAATTTCCCATTTTGTATGTGTGCAACTGATTGCTCCTTCCTAAGTGGAATACTTTTACTCTTAAGTCACCTACCACCCCACACGAGAACTCCCATGGGGTATCATTAAACATTAACAGCCCATACACGATGGGGACCACATGCTGAAAGAAAGCTTTCCCAACCCCCGCTTCTGGCTTTCAAGCAACACCCTCCAACTTTGCCAAGCTCATCATGAGAAGCAAGGTCTCCCTACAGACCAGGACACATCAACTCAAAGCAGCACCAGACCCTGCCAGAACAACAGATGCAAAACCTGCAAACATATCTCCACAGCTACGATGATCAATACCCCCACAACAAACCTTTCAAGATTCATGGGTCCTACACATGCATATCACAACATGTGGTATATCTCATCCAGTGCACTAAATGCCCCAATAACTGTGTGGGTGAAAACAAAATATCTTTATTCTCTCAAATGAACTCTCACAAAAAAATGATAAAAGTCAAAAACACTATGTCACCTGTGGACGAACAGGTTTCACAATGTAATAACTCCATATCTGACCTCTCAATCCTCATCCATTTAGGAAATCTGCACAGCATCTTCAAAAGACAAGTCTGGGAACTTAAATTCATCTCTCTGCTAGACACTAAAAATCATGGACTTAATAAAAACATTGGATTTATGGCTCATTTCAGCAATCTGTAACCCACTAACCCTCCTTTGTTGTATGACTGTAGATGTGTTAACTGCCTGCTTCACCTTGAATGTTCTGTTCTACCTTGTATTTAGTTGTGACACTCTGAGGGTATGTCTACTCTGCAATTAGACACATGTGGCTGGCTTATGCCAGCTGGCTCAGGCTACGGGGCTGTTTAATTGTGGTGTAGACATTTGGGCTCAGGCTGCAGCCTTTGCTCTAGGACCCTGTGAGATGGGAGGGTCCCGGAGACGTCCTTGAATGTCTGCATCACAGTTGAGCAGCCCTTTAGCCCAAGGGCCAGAGTCAGCTTGCAAGGGCCAGCCTTGGGTGTCTAATTGCAATGTAAACATACTCATAGTATCTTTTCCAGGCCTGAAGAAGAGCTCTGTGTAAGCTCGAAAGCTTGTTTCTTTCACTAACAGAAATTGGTCCAATACAAAATATTATCTCATCTACCTCGTCTCATTCATATTCGAAATAGGGCTGAGCTGCAAAATATCACCGAGTTTTCCAAAGTGTTGAGTGTTCAGAGGTCTGCCCTTGGATTTTGCATCTCTCTAATTCACTGTTTATAGTCAAAAGTACAGTTGAAAGATGGCTGTGGTGATTATGATCTGTGAATATTTTTCTTTCTTTACTTGTGACCACCTAATATCTGGATTGCTTAATAAAAATGGCTTGAGTTAAACAGATGCCACAAATATGCAGCAGAATCAATTCAGCATTGTTCAAACAAAGCTAAAAAGGTAAAAGCCGTTTTGTTTTATAAATCTGTCAAGTTTTAGTTGTTAAAGCAGTAGGAGTCTTTTATTTTCCCTGTGAGTGTTGGATGCAGAATAATTGCTAGTTAGCCTGAAGGAAAATATAAAATCAGAATTTCCCATGGATTATGAAGCGAGACTTACACAACAGTTTTGATAACTTCCTGCCATGCGTGACAGAAACAAGGATTGGACTTGTGGGCCTATATGTTAACCTTAAGGGCTCAGTTTTAGAAATTAGTACTTTATATCAAATCCTTATGGATTTCAAATAATCTGCGCTGGTTCATTATAAAATTTGTTAGATGATTGTCAGTAAATCTCCTTTTAGGATTAGGTTTACATTACCTAATTAATCCAAAGAGAAGTAATAGCTCTGCTACACACTCCTTCAAAAAATAGTTCAGTATATTCACAGCACTGAATCTACTTTATGGAAAACTACATTAATATGGCTAATAATGAAAAATGAACATTTTTTTAGTGTATTCTGGTCTTGTATTTAAACTGGTTGGTTTTTCTTTAGATTTTTTTTTTTTTAAGGATTTTTTGTGTGTGTGCACGCAATGCTTACAATAAGCACCTATTATAAATAGATTTTAAAAAATGTTTGAATGCAAAAGCATTTTGGGTTTCTAAAAATCATCCATTGTTATTGTTTTTCTTTCACTTCTTTAGCACACATTCCTTAGCTAGCCTTACAAAGATTAGTCTGTATTTAAGATAAATGGATTACTGTGTCCTAATAAAAGAAAATGATCACTGATGTTTCCAATTTTTTGAAAAAAAAAATTGAAAAATTTCTTTAATACATTAGTAAGGATGACTTAAGGTTTTTTAAGATGACAAAATATTTAACTATAAGTGTGGTTAAGCTCTGGCATAGGCTTCAAAAGGAGGTTGTGGAATCCCTGTCATTGGAGGTTTTTAAGAATAGGTTGGACAAACACCTGTCAGGGATGGTCTAGGTTTACTAGGTTCTGCTTCAGTTCAGGGGGCTGGACTTAATGACCTTGTGAGGTCCCTTTCAGCCCTATGTTTATATGGTTCTATAAAACAATATTGAACTACTGTTTTGAGGTCCAATCCCACAAAGATATGTATGCAAGTAGTGTCCTTGAAACAAATTAGAACCGTTCATGTGGCTAGCGATACTAATGTGCATAAGTCTTTGTAGTATCAGAGGAAGTCTACACTACAAAATT